ATGCTAATCTCCTCTCGCGTGCACGAGCAGCTGGATACGAACAGGTGGAATTTACGCAGCTCATTTACACACTTGGGTTGATTTCTTTGTATGTATGGATCACTTGGGTTGTTACCAACATCTGGTGAAAATTTCATGTCATTAGCACCTCTAGTAATATATTTACTGAGAAAAATGGTGACGTGTTCAATACTTATTTTACCCGCTGTATATTGTCAAGATCGACTGCAGCTGGTAGTTTGTTTTTGCCCATTTTAAATGGATTTGTTTGACAGTACTCAGTACTCAGAACAGTGGGAAAGGCAATATTACTCAGTGAAGATCTAAGAAGAGGAAATAGGAAGAGGATGTTCAGGAACCACCAAAACTTTAGGCTGCCAGGAACTGGAAACTGCTGGAGCACCAGTGTCACTATCTGCAACAAAGCCAGTTTTACATCACCATGACCTGAGAGGGTGCTGACAAAAAGAAGCTTCTGCTTCAAAAGTGCCACCTTTAAACTCGACTGAAATATGCAGTTGCCTACGCGGACAAACAAGATGCCTTCCTGAGAAACAAAGACAAGACAAAGATCGAGTTATTTGGCCACAACCACAAGTATGTTCAGAAGAGTCAATAAGGCCTGTGACATGCATTTCCTTGAAAAAAAGTGTAAGAGAATATATTTAAGAAGTATGGAAAAAATATACATCATTGTGTTATACATTCTGTCAGGCTAATCATTGCTTATTTTGTCATTTGTTTTTGTGACAACAGGATAAGTGGCTTGAACCTAACATTATCAATGTAGCCCTCTGCTACCTCGCCGGCATTAAAAACGATACTGCTCCAGGGTTTTGAAGTGGGGATTGTGTTCATGCTTTTATATTACTGTATTTTTATTTTGCAGTGCAGCACTTTGGTTGTCTTGGGTGTGTGAAGTGCTTTATAAATAAAGATCTGTGTCAGGAAACCAACCTAAATAACCTCTACCAGTTCTTCCAAGTAGAGTGGTCAGATATCCAGACCTAATTATGCGACAAGCTATTTGATGGATACAGAAAGTGTTTGATCAGGATGAAACTTGTACACATGTGGACAGAATAGTTGGACCTACTGTGGACATCCTCTAATATGTTTCGTTGTGTTTGTGACGTAGACTGTAGTTACTTTTGGGTCACGTTTATGCTTCCATCCACATTATGTGACGCATAAATCTGTCAACGCAGCCATTAATTGCAATGTCATATGGCTTCAGCTTATATGAATCCATCTAGTTTTTTTGCACAGTCGTTTCTGATACGACTAGGAGGCAGGGTGAACCCAATTGCAGGCAGGCAGGCAGACTAGAAAGTTTGACAAAGAATTTATTAAATAAAATCCAGCGTGGTGGCAAAAACAGAAAACAAAACAAGATACAGGAACAGGGAAGCATGGGCAGAGCAAGAATCCAACAGGAACATACAAACAATGATCCGACAACAGGGAAGTGAAGACAACACACAGAATTTTAAAGGTGAGACTAATGAGGACCAACAGGGAACACCTGGGGAAGAAACATGAGGATCAGGTGTGAGTGGACGGGGCTGGAGCAAGGGCAAGACAGGAGGAAGAAAACAAGAACATGACAGAAACTAAAAATAAAACACTTAACACAAACAGAAATCATAACAGAGCCCCCCCAATAAGGG